AGGAAGCCAGAGTACCCGGAGAGAACCCACGCAAGCACGGGGAGAACATGCAAACTCCGCACAGAAAGGTCCCGGGTGGGGCCCGAACCCGGAACCTAAGACCTATGATTTGTGTGCAGTTTGTCTGTGTGCATTGCTTTGACTCTTTTAGTCGACAGTCATCTCTGAGGACAGAGTCAGAACAGCTACTTGTGTACATTTCTATGTATATTTACATTATCATACTGTAAGTGCCTGTGTTTTGCTATGGCTCACTGCAGTAAACTGTACTTGCACTGTGTGCATGAGGGTTTGTACTCAGAACTTTTGTGACAAATAAAAGTTTACATCAGGAAAACTGTGGCTGCATATATGAACAGAAAGTTTCTTACTGTAGTGTTGTTGTATTCAACAGATTACTGTTTGATGCAACAAGATTTAAAGGATAAAGCCAGTGATTTTTCGATGTTTGTTTTTTTCCCCACAATCTCTGAAGTAAAAATAAAGATGTAGCCATGTACAATACGGCCACATTATGACAAGTCAAGGTGAGTGGCTTCAATAATGTTTCCAGCCCATGAGTTTCTGTTTTGTTTTGGTTAGCCATGCTGCTAACATAGACTACTCTACATTAACACCAAATTCTGCCACCGGTGTGCTGAACCAGTTCCAGCTTTTTTGCTACACGGGGCTGCGTCATTGTGCAGGAGCCCCCTGTGGTGCTGGTGATGGGCTGCAGTGCACACAATTCGCCACAGAAATGAAACTCAGTCTGAATGCCCCTTTACTTTAGAGAGTGTTAAAAAGTGGCGGTCCTCCTTGGGATTTGGAGCTCACGTACCTGGTAAGGAAGAAACAAGTCACCCAATGCAGCAGTGTGGCCCCCTGGCATGTTTTTAATAGTGTTCAGACAACAATGGAGGTCTACAGCACAGATGAATGAGCTAAACCAGGTTCGGTATGTCAGTGTAGAGCTATTTCTGTCACTTATTCATTTAACCTCCACCCAGTTATTACCTGGAAATCTCTCTCAGTCTCTCTCAACCATTCACACTCACAAACACACAGTTTATTTTCCCTTACAAGCAAATTCCAAAGACAAAAACAACACTCTAGCATGAACTTACCGATGTGTGTATTTATGTGTGTTTGAGCGTGTGGGCCAGTGTACACATATAGCTCTGACAAATGAGCCAAGCTCAGTTAAATGGCTTGTGATTAGAACACATTGGCTTCTAATTGCCTCTCATTACCATTTGAAAGTGACCGGCGGCTGGAATCAAAGGCTATGGTTGCAATGGTAAAGTCTGTGTGTGTAGGTGTGTGTGTGTGTTGTGTGTGTGTATTAGGTGGGTGGAACAGCATGCCTGATTCACTGAGGCATGACCGCACAATAGAGCACTATAGTTTGGTCTTTCCCTGTCATAAAGCCTTTGTGTTCACCATCACCTTAAAGGCCTAGTTTTAAGAAATCTGAAAAAATACTGGAGCATACAATGCTTGTGTACCAAATCAAAACCCCCGGTGCTCCAATTTAAAACTCTTTAACTCCTTGTCTAACTGGTCAACAACTACAACTCCTCCCTCTACTGTTTCCTAAATATACAGCTTCTTTATTTTTCTCCTTGGTACACCTCCTTGGTACACATTTTAGCATTTCACCATGTCAGCTTTGGACATGTCTGTAATCACATGATCAACCCTTCCTTCCTTTCCTCAACCCCTCCTAGACCCTATGTTTACCCTTCTGTCTACATTCTCCATGCAATGTATTAACATCTCCTTTCTGGTCATGTACTCACTAGTTCCAAGACAAAAAGGTGTTAGTGGCCAACCCCATCCTGAAAGACCTGGTGCTGAAAATACAGAATTGGCCTTTTATTATATCTGAACCCAGAAATTCCTATCTAAAACTCTGGATTCTTCTATTTCTTCTCAGATTACCTCACACTCTGGATTTTGTAAACACTGACCTTGTCAAAATCACAATGCAGTCGACTTTAGCTGCCACTTCATTCTCATTCTTTTCAGCCAAAATACAGCTTTTAAACTCTCTCTATTGGCATAACTATTTCTGTACACCTCTGGCTGATCATTAATGCATAACAGTTTCTCCCCGTGAACTCTAAGACCTTCCAGTGGTGTCCCACAGAGATTAATGCTGGGTCTTCATTTTATCATATACCTCCTGCCTGTCACTTTGAGATACAAAGCTCATGGTCAGCTATTCATATCTAACAGCTTTGGTACTTCCACCTACAGCAAAAAAACCATCTCACAAAATCGAACTATGCAACCAATGCCAATAAAGACATTTTTAATTGACCCATATAGACTAAATAAAAAGCTCTTCAATACACTTGATTAAAACAATGCCACTGTTTCCTACTGCACAATGTTGCAACAGAAACAAACAGTGACTTGCCATTTTATTTAATACTTACAGTGATGACATTTGTCAGCAATCATGTGAAGAAGGGCCACATATTATACATAGGTATTGTATTGGCAGACAAGACAAATATTATATTAACATGAAATGAAATATATATTAGCATGAAAAACAGGTTTGCATTGTAAAACCTTAAATATTCTGTACAATCTTTATGCTCAAAAGGTCTTGTTAGGTATTTTTAGTCAGATAGACATTGGATAGATACTTTATGTATTAGAAATGTTTAGTGGAGATAGGATGTCTAGTTAGACTGTTAAATGCTTAGGCCTGCTCATGAGTTTCTACAGGGTACATCTGGTCAAGGATACTAGAGAGAAGAGTTGATGACTGTCAGCAGACAGGGTGTTTAATATTATTAATATGACGTGTATAACTGTAGCCTTAGCCATAATATGTTCTTATGTTTGAGTCACGACATGTTACCAGAAGTCTGTGAGAATGTTTTTAGCTACACACCACTTAATCAACAGACACACACATTCACACATTTATTTGCTTCATGTTTTGACTACTGCTATGGCCAGCTGCAAAGCTGGTAAGGGAGACGTCTCGGTTGACGTTTCTGTGTAGTATGGGGCTAGCCCAACCGAGGGGATATAATGTATAGGCCTGGTGGGCTCAGGGTCTTTTCATCTTTCATCTGCCTGCGTGCAGTTTGGAGGTGAAAGATACTTGAGCGTGTAATGTTAATTTTACCTGTGACGCTTTGAATAAATCAGCACTGTTTTGAAGTTACTTGGACTGTCTCGTCTCTCAGAGTCAGTATGGTAAAAAGTACCGGGTACAACAGTCTCCAATAGGAACTTTTTCCAAAATTCTGCTAAATAAGTGTATATACCTTAGGTCAGGGGTTTTCAAAGTGTGGGGAGATGAGCCTCCCCTCAAAAGAGATCATAAAAACAGCACCTCCCCCGACCCCAAAAATACTGCCACATTGTCACTGTTGGTTGTAGCCTACTGTATGTTCTGCTCAACCACAAAAAATGGGTTTCAACAATAAATGTAAACATCTTAAAGCAAACACTTTTGGAACAATTCCACTCTCAAGGACTATTACACATCGATTTCTTTAAGGTAGTACTGGTGAGTAAAGAAGTCCCACATGAGTATAACTAGGCTTTTCAAAATTTCTGAAGCTATATTTTGGAAAAATGTACGACTTTGACTGTACGAGTTGACTGTGACTTGCACAATAAGCATATGGTTGTTTCAAACTTTTTTGTGCAGCAGTATCATAAGTGGCTAGGAGCTGACACAAACATTACAAATTTTGATTGAAATCTTACTTTAAACTGTAAACTTAGTCAGTTAAACACATGCATGCAGTGTTTACAGCCAATAGCGAGTTAACAATCTTAATATATTGGCTATACAACAATCATTGCTAAGGATTTATATTTCTGGGTTATCATGGATTGCATCTTTTATAGCAAAAGCCCCTTTAGAAAGACTATCCCTCACTGCCTAAAAGACAGCAACTCACAGGATTTATGCTTCAAAAATGATAAGATATAATCAAAAGTAAACCTGACTTGTTCAAACTGCAAACAAGTGCAGACAATCAGCAAAGGGCAACACTTAAAAGTGTAAATGCAACTTTTAGAGAGAACCTCAGTTTTAATATTTGTCCGTCCGTTTGATTTCATTTAGATACCATATTACATTCATAAGGTGACTGAAGCATAGACTACCACCTGGGATGCATATCCTGCCCTGAGAGCAACTCCGAGGTGTAAACAGAGTAAAAATAGCCGCTATCACAGGCTTCCCTACAGTCCCGTTATATAATGGTTCAAGCCAGGATGAATGACATCACGGGTAGTCCAGCAATCACAACCCCATGTCCTTTACAACCAGGAGCAATGTAGACCACTGTGTAGTGCCGTGCCACATAGGCAACTATTTAATCTGTGATCTAAATATGCGAAGCAGTGTTAACTACGTCTTCACAAACACTGGTCTAATTACGGGGACTGTGGTTTGTTGTTCCTCGCGTCTTTTCGCGTAAATAAAACACTTCCGCGATAGTGAAGCGTAGATAAAAATGTATTGCTTTCCTCTGACAGTCATTGTCAGTAAGAGAAGAGTTTAAAAGAAGACACAGGCAGCACAACGCAACGCCATATGGCAGCGTTTGACACTGTTCATCGATAATACTCTGCAAAGAGCAAATGTTTGAGCCGAGGGCGAGTGGCGCAGTTACTAGAAGTACAGTGCCTGCCAGACACCAGCTCGCCCGGCGAACGCGCGGCTCAATCGGTCAGAATCCAGCCAAGGCTCTGCTCTCTGTCGACCCACTTAAACACTACTTTACATTTACGTCCCCAAATGACAACTATATATACTCAAACTCCGCACGTCCCTGCACTGTTTGGTCACTTAAAAATAGGTCAGAGGGCGAAATAAACATTTTCCGAGGATTTGAAGTCAACCGGAGCGTCAGCGCCACCCAGCCCAGTTGTTCCAGCCATTTTCTCTACACAGCCCCCAAAAAGAAAATTGGCATGGTGAAAGCGGTGCCAGGTTGGCGAAACGAGCACTGAATGAGTAGTTCTGTGTTACTTACTGTAGGGTGTAACTGGCTGCTGAGTTTGTGTCTCTCGTTGTTGCCAGGGCTCCCAGGCTCTGCTCCGACGCTGACGGTGGGAAGCGTCTCCCGTCCTAATAATGATGTCTGCAGCGCGCAGCTAATAGCTCTCTCTGCCCCCACCTTCAGAGAAAGCGTGAGACGCACGGGGGAGAGAGAGAGAGAGAAAGAGAGAGAGAGTTCAAAAATGGAGCAGTAGGCAACTTACTCATGCAAAAATATGAGAGGGCTCGGAGCTGAGCAAACAGTAACAAGATAAGTTCACTGGCATTACTGGGGCGTGAGGATATACAATATGCCATTACAGGTTACGCACCGTATGTTTGGGTAATATTCATTTCATAAGATTATTCTCAATATACAATATCTTAACCCAGCATTGCACAAAAAGTAACACCATTTTATAAAATGTGACGCCTTGTTATAGATCTATAAAGTGGCAGAATTAGCTCCACCAACCAGCTACAGCATTAAAATCCTGGATGCCTGGGGCATAATGAGTACTTTTACTTTTGACACCTTAAGCACATTTACATTTGAATGTAGAATTTGTACAGTAACTGGGTATTTTTAATCTAGTCTTACTACTTTTACTTAAATAATAGATGCAAATATTTCTTCCACCACTGTACAAGATAAGATATATTTATTGATCCCATGCAGGTAAAACAAAGCAGATGCAATATGAAACACACACAAATAGAAAATAGTGCATTAAGACAAAAATATAAAGAAAACACATGATGGCTATAATACAGGGGTGTTATATTTGATCCGGAGTAACAAACCTGTCTCAGTGAAGTAATTTCACACAAGTAAAGCAGTTGGTGTAAGAATATATCGGTACTCTTGAGTATCACAATATTACGCTCTGCGATACTGTACTGATTCTCAAAAACACAGTATTGTAGGATATGGTTCTTGTTACCATGCTAACTCTGAGAGACGAGACAGTCCAAGTAACTTCAAAACAGTGTTGATATGGCTAAGGCTACAGTTATACAAGTCATAATAATAATATTAAACACCCTGTTTGCTGACAGTCATCAACTCTTCTCTCTAGTTATCCTTGACCAGATGTACCCTGTAGAAACTCATAAGCATGACTAAGCATTTAACAGTCTAACTAGACATCCTATCTCCACTAAACATTTCTAATACATAAAGTATCTATCCAATATCTATCTGACTAAAAATACCTAACAGTATCAATTTATAATTACTAGTTTACCTGCCAAGTAGTGCTATGTTGTTGGATATTACAGAGATTGTGACAAATGCAAATGCAGCTCCCTGTTCTGATTGCATAAAAACGTTTTATGTTAGATTTTATGTCTATGGTGGTGTGTTGCCTATTTTATGACAGTTTTCTAAAATTACATTTTTTAAAAATTGCAATATATCGCCTTGTTTACAGTATCACAATATATCAAATTGTAACCCCTGTATCATGGTACATATCGTATTCCCAAGTTCTTGCCAATACACAGCCCTAAGTGACATGGTGGAAAATCTCAGCTGCTGTGTTTTCACATAGCCTCAGACATGTACAAAATTATGGAATAATACTAGAAAACATCCTCATTCTGCTATGGCTAATTCACTTTAACCTGCAAACTATAGCCACATATTTGTTGCTGGCAAAGTGTTAAAATCAAGTCACCCCCTCCCCCTTGACCTCTGAGACCTCTTCCAGATTTCCATCATGGCAGCAAACACCGTTGCCCTCTTCATCACCACAGAATGCAACCTGACACTGAGCATGAGCAGTAAGGTGCACGAGGTTGCCAGTCACTCTATAAGTGGCCTATTGTACAGCACTCTATTGTGCGCTTGTCACACAAAGGGACGGTGCGCCAGTAGGCTAGCATTACATTCATGGCCTGCATAGAAATGAAGAGAGACAGTCTGGTGGTTAATGGACTTTGATATTTAAATGGAGACAAAAGTAAGGAGTTTTACTATTTATTATGTAGTCCCTGTGGTGTTTCCTATAGTGTCACATTGTATGATTCACCCTCACAGCATATGTGTCAGGTCAGAGAACGCAGTAACATTTTTGAATAATCCAAGTGATCCTGATTTGTTGCTTAGTGTCTTGCTAGCTCACAGGAATAGATCCATACAGACATTTGCAGAAACACAAGCCTATATTTACATCAGTATTAACTCTCTTGTTGTACTCTGCATGTACTTACAGCCATACATGATGAAAGTATTTGCATATGGAAAGCTCCACGTTAGACTGTAGCAGTGAAAAAGGACTCAAACATGATGTGTACATGTAGGCAAAGTCAGTTCAGATGTAGCCTCTCTACAGAGCCTTTATTTGAATTACTTGCACCATTCAGAGTTCAATACATACTGCAGTACTATGTATGTAGTGCAGGGCCACGGTGTGCCTGAGGAATAATAAAGAACTGTTCCCAGAGGAGGAGCAGACTCTTCAAGGGTTGGGTTCCTCCCTAGAGATGTACCTGTGTTCTTTGAAGGAGGTGTGAGCAGTATACAGCCTGGTACAATAAAGAGTACCAGGTGTGGCCTGTATGGGAAAAGCCTTGAGAAACAGATACTGGCAGCTTAAACCACTACAGCTATTTTACGAGATTAAATGACTCATACTTTTCATGTCAGTGCAATTTTTAACCTCAGCTCTCTTTTGAGGAAAGGGTGTGTGCCAAAAGAAATATTAAAAATGGAATGACAAGAAATACTCACTACTTTTAAAAAAATCTAATACCTAAGTATTTGTGTCAGTTTTTAACCTCTTCTGACCAGAAAACCACAAAACAACTCTGTTAAAACCAAATTTATTCAACTATATAAGAGACATCCACTTGACTGACAAGTACACACAAAGAAGGGATTTGACACTTCACCTGGGATATGAATAAATAACACCATGATCTTAAAACATGCACTAAAGCAGATAAATAATTAATCATCACCAGCCTTTGGAAGCAGCTCTTAAGGGATTTTCAGAGATTTTAATGGTCATCTTTCTTTCTTTCTTTTTTTTAACTGAGCAGCAGAGTAACAGCGGCACAATGTCTGAAGTGCATGCCACTTAACACAGTATAGTAATCCATCGAGCACCATAGTTTTTACCATTTACCTGTTCAGCTGGTGTGAAAATTCAAGCAGAAGAAAGAGCAGGCCACTACATTAACATGTCAGCTTTTCATATTTTCAGCAAAAAATAAAGACTTTCTTAGTAGAAGAGGAATGCTCAGTCTCTTTGCTTTGGGTTTCTTTGCAGAAAGTCCCTCCTCACACAGGGCATGGTGTGTTTCACAGCTGCTCACTGCTCCCTCTTTTGCTCAGATGTGGAAGTGTCTACAAGTTCAGCCCAGACGCTATAATATACTATGCAAAGAGATTAAATGAAGTTTTTCACTTTATTCTATTATTTCAGTTTGTATAGTCACATTCACCACAAACAATATGATTACCCCTGAAAATGTATTATTTTGTAAGCGTTTTCTTTTTGGTCAGATGTACCCCCACATCTCCGTCAGATGTATTCAAATATCCTTTCACCGACACTGTAATGTATTTTAGGTACCATCATTTTCACACCAACTCTAACAACTAAATTACACAGGCTTAAAGTTGCCCTTGCAAGTGTAATCCTACAGAGAAAGACTGCTGTCGGCTAACTTGTTCTCACACACCTTCCCCATTCTGAGACAAGGGAGAATGAAGTACAGAGGATTAGGAGGCAATAAGAGTTCTCTAATCTGTGTATTAACAGCAGCCGATTGAATCTGTCTGTCCCGGTCAGGCAGATTTTGGGAAGTAATTTGAAGTGCTTTAATGTGATCTGGTTAGAAATCCCACACCTTAATGGAATTAATATAAATTTAGATTGCTCATGGATGTAAATATGTCTCCCATTTTCTCTCTTCTTCTGCACACAAATAAATCTGACATATGAATTGAAGCAGAGTGCGGTCAGTGTGAGTATGTTTGTATGTGTATTAATGTCCAAGGTCCCTCTGTATAAAAATAATCAGATCTTAGTTCTGGACCCAGAACTTGCCTGCAGCCTTGGCGGATGAGACTGCAAATTACTGGGACACAGAATGGTTTCCTACTTATTCTACATACTTTGAACTGTTATTTTAACCTTTTCCCTCCCTTTTTAAACCACAAACCATATTGATGATAATATTTCATTTCATCTTCACCCTTATTGTAATTATATCTGCATACAGCGACTGCTGTTTCCTAAAACTGATATCTTTGTTCCACCCACCATTTCCCAAAAATAAAACCAGCAGCCCTTCATGTATGTTTTAATTACTGTCCAAGTAAGGAGGCTCTTCAACCCATGCATACCAACAGTGGTGAATGATATCAGGACAGTACACTCAGCAAGAGGTCAGATGGATAACAGATAAGACACTGTGACAGTGTGAGGAACCAGCTTTTACAACACAAGTGAGAGGTAGAATGGCAGATGCAGAAGTAGAGGACAAAAGAAGAGAAAGCAGAGAATATCTCTATTGTGAGGATAGTGGGAAAGCAGTACTCAAGTATTATTTTAGAAACAGTAAGTGAATTAATCAGTTAGTTGAGCTGCAGAACATTCACACACATTCACTTTGACAGTACTTTCTTAACTGTGGGGTAAATATGAAGCTTGTTTAACTTAGCATAAACACTGGAAACAGGCTGAAACAGCTGGACTGGCCTTGTCTAAAGGTTAAAAATATGGATCTGCCAACATGTTTAAAGCTCACTAGTTAACACATCATGTCATTTGTTTAATCTGTACAGAAACTGGTAAATGAAATGTACTGTAATGTTACAGTATATATGCCAAACTAAATCTTGGCTGAAGCAGTGATTTCCTGGAGACAGACATGAGAGTATTATTAGTCTCCTCATCTAACTCTTGGTTTAAAAAAAAAGTCCAGCTATGATTTTTAACTCATTCAGTCATTTTTCACAGTTTTTGTTGCATTTTTATTACATTTATAACCTAAAAAAATGAACATTTAATAATAAAAATAATCAAACGATTAATTGAGAGTCCTGTATTATAGTAAATGGTAGCGAACAAGGATAGCAGACTGATTATAATGCGACGT